AGCCACGAAGTGAAGTCTGAGACACTCGCCTAAGCGGGTTTTATTAAAATCCACATGGGATCAAAAAGAAAAAAACTTTGGCCCACCATCCGCCCACCAACCACCCGCCCTTAGGGGGTGACTTGAAATTATTCATTTGAGACCACGTTCTATCAGCGAGATTTAAGAAGAGAATATACAAGTGTAGCAGCATCTATTGAACATTGCTACAACATGTGATCAACAGATGTCGCTGCAGTTTTATTTCATATTTTCTTAACTCTCACTGATTTAGTTTGGTCTAAACTTATTAACTTTCTGCGTTACCCCAAGAGCGGTCGTGGGTACGGTCCCACGCTTCGTTATCTGTGGAGTAACGTTCAACAGATGGCGCTTTTTATTATTTGGTATGAATATAAATACTATGGAAGCGGTCCCATGCTTCGCCATCTGTGGAGTAATGTTCAATAGATGGCGCTACTTTTTGATTTCACATGAATATGAATACTATGGAAGCGTGGGACTCCACCCTCACTCGCTCTATGGGTCACGCAGAAAGTCAATAACTTGAGATCAAGCTAATTGAGCGCCAGTTAACAAGAAAATTTTTAAAACTCTAGCGCCATCTGTGGACTTAAAAACTGATGGAAAGCCACGAAGTGTAGTTAAAATGTAGCATCTTAGTATCTGATTGGGCTGTGCAAACCGCTCCTCTGAAGAAAGTTAATCACTTGTGGAGTAATGTCCAACAGGTGGCGCTACAGTTTTAAATGTTTTCGTGTTAACTCTCACTGATTTAACGTGATCTCAAGTTATTAACTTTCTGCGTGACCCATAGAGCGAGTGAAGGTGGAGTCCCACGCTTCCATAGTATTCATATTCATGTGAAATCAAAAAGTAGGGCCATCTATTGAACATTACTCCACAGATGGCGAAGCATGGGACCGCTTCCATAGTATTTATATTCATACCAAATAATAAAAAGCGCCATCTGTTGAACGTTACTCCACAGATAACGAAGCGTGGGACCGTACCCACGACCGCTCTTGGGGTAACGCAGAAAGTTAATAAGTTTAGACCAAACTAAATCAGTGAGAGTTAAGAAAATATGAAATAAAACTGCAGCGACATCTGTTGATCACATGTTGTAGCAATGTTCAATAGATGCTGCTACACT